TAACTCTCTAAACTGTTCCAAACATCCTCCAAACTCTCCAAACTGTTCTAATCTCTCCAAACTGTTCCAAACATCCTCCAAACTCTCTAAACTGTTCCAAACATCCTCCAAATTCTCCCAACTGTTCCAAACATCCTTCAAACTGTTCCAAACATCCTCCAAACTCTCTAAACTGTTCCAAACATCCTCCAAACTCTCCAAACTGTTCTAATCTCTCCAAACTGTTCCAAACATCCTCCAAACTCTCTAAACTGTTCCAAACATCCTCCAAACTCTCCAAACTGTTCTAATCTCTCCAAACTGTTCCAAACCTCCAACAGTGTCAGTTTTCTATGGAACTTACTTACTGTAGTGTGTTCACAGTGAACTCTACAAAGCTGAAACATCTGAATGGAGTCTGCTCAGAGCTCTTTATGATAAATAAACAGAGGACAGGAGGAGCTGATTTACAGTGAACAGTTAAAGAGTCTGGTCAGAGGTCTTAGAGGATAAAGGATCAGACAGCAGCAATGGGTTAGACTGAATAGTGAAATGGTGAAATATCTGAACAGAGTCTGGTGAGAGGTCTTAAAGGATAAACAGTCAGAGGACAGCAGCAGGTTCACAGTGAACAGTAACAGGGTCTGGTGAGAGGTTTTAAAGGATTTTCTTGCTGATGAATGAAAAACCAGTGAAAAGAGGATTTTCTCTGTACATGTACTCACAGTCTGACGGACACCTGGAGGGCTGGACAGGTGGACGGATGTGTGAAGCAGCAGGTGACTGATGTCTGAGCATGAATAAGTGACTGAAGACATGCGTGCTGTGGTCTTTAGTGGTGGAGAGAACCCCCCCCCCCATCAGTGTTTATTTTGGCAAATGGTTTGTTTTTCAGTTAATGGTTCAGCCTGATCCGTCCCTCCCTCTGGAAATGCTTCAGTCCATTTTAAGGATCAATAATTGATTGTGGATCATGTTCTCACTCAGATTTACTTAAAACATTTTAATACTGATTTTTGACTCTTGATGGATGCTGACGTCCTTCCTGCAGGAACTCGTTAACAACTCATCCCCTCAGTTTGTTTTCGTGTCCTCGCTCCTCGCTGGGATTTTCTCTCCTGGAATTCATCCGACTGAGATTCAATCAACAAACGTCTCAGCAGGTCACACGTCCAGAGGACACGATGAGAAGACACATGTCCAACACACACACACATATATATACATGTCCAATCAGAGACATGTCCACTGTCTCCTGATGGTAAACTGATGTAATAATGAGTCTGCAGATTCTTTCAGGACAAAGTCTCTCAGAGCAGAATCACATCTTCAACAATGTATGACAAAGATTTTAATGTGTAACTTGAGACCATAAATCCTCCTGACGGCTCCAGTCCACCTGGTCTAAACCTGGTTAACATCACAACCTCATCCTCACTCCCCCGACCCGCCGGCCTCTCTGCAGAGTGCCACCATCCCCCCTCCACTCAGGAACCAAGCGAAGACCCTGGGTTAAAAGAAGCACAGACCTTAAAAACTCCACAGGTGTGTAGTAAGAAGACCTTCAACCATTTACAGCACCTGCACTGAAAATAAACAACTGGTTTCACAACCACCAGACAGACGCTTATTCATTTACATCCAAATCTCGACAGGGACACACCGTCTGAATGAAGATCAGTGTTCATATTAATAAAGTTGTGTTCATGTTTATGAAGTTGTGTTCATGTTAATAAAGTTGTGTTCATGTTAATAAAGTTGTGTTCATGTTAATAAAGTTGTGTTCATGTTAATAAAGTTGTGTTCATGTTAATAAAGTTGTGTTCATGTTAATAAAGTTGTGTTCATGTTAATAAAGTTGTGTTCATGTTAATAAAGTTGTGTTCATGTTAATAAAGTTGTGTTCATGTTAATAAAGTTGTGTTCATGTTAATAAAGTTGTGTTCATGTTAATAAAGTTGTGTTCATGTTAATAAAGTTGTGTTCATGTTAATAAAGTTGTGTTCATGTTAATAAAGTTGTGTTCATGTTAATAAAGTTGTGTTCATGTTAATAAAGTTGTGTTCATATTAATAAAGTTGTGTTCATATTAATAAAGTTGTGTTCATATTAATAAAGTTGTGTTCATGTTAATAAAGTTGTGTTCATGTTAATAAAGTTGTGTTCATGTTAATAAAGTTGTGTTCATGTTAATAAAGTTGTGTTCATGTTAATAAAGTTGTGTTCATGTTAATAAAGTTGTGTTCATGTTAATAAAGTTGTGTTCATGTTAATAAAGTTGTGTTCATGTTAATAAAGTTGTGTTCATGTTAATAAAGTTGTGTTCATGTTAATAAAGTTGTGTTCATGTTAATAAAGTTGTGTTCATGTTAATAAAGTTGTGTTCATGTTAATAAAGTTGTGTTCATGTTAATAAAGTTGTGTTCATGTTAATAAAGTTGTGTTCATGTTAATAAAGTTGTGTTCATGTTAATAAAGTTGTGTTCATGTTAATAAAGTTGTGTTCATGTTAATAAAGTTGTGTTCATGTTAATAAAGTTGTGTTCATGTTAATAAAGTTGTGTTCATGTTAATAAAGTTGTGTTCATGTTAATAAAGTTGTGTTCATGTTAATAAAGTTGTGTTCATGTTAATAAAGTTGTGTTCATGTTAATAAAGTTGTGTTCATGTTAATAAAGTTGTGTTCATGTTAATAAAGTTGTGTTCATGTTAATAAAGTTGTGTTCATGTTAATAAAGTTGTGTTCATGTTAATAAAGTTGTGTTCATGTTAATAAAGTTGTGTTCATGTTAATAAAGTTGTGTTCATGTTAATAAAGTTGTGTTCATGTTAATAAAGTTGTGTTCATGTTAATAAAGTTGTGTTCATGTTAATAAAGTTGTGTTCATGTTAATAAAGTTGTGTTCATGTTAATAAAGTTGTGTTCATGTTAATAAAGTTGTGTTCATGTTAATAAAGTTGTGTTCATGTTAATAAAGTTGTGTTCATGTTAATAAAGTTGTGTTCATGTTAATAAAGTTGTGTTCATGTTAATAAAGTTGTGTTCATGTTAATAAAGTTGTGTTCATGTTAATAAAGTTGTGTTCATGTTAATAAAGTTGTGTTCATGTTAATAAAGTTGTGTTCATGTTAATAAAGTTGTGTTCATGTTAATAAAGTTGTGTTCATGTTAATAAAGTTGTGTTCATGTTAATAAAGTTGTGTTCATGTTAATAAAGTTGTGTTCATGTTAATAAAGTTGTGTTCATGTTAATAAAGTTGTGTTCATGTTAATAAAGTTGTGTTCATGTTAATAAAGTTGTGTTCATGTTAATAAAGTTGTGTTCATGTTAATAAAGTTGTGTTCATGTTAATAAAGTTGTGTTCATGTTAATAAAGTTGTGTTCATGTTAATAAAGTTGTGTTCATGTTAATAAAGTTGTGTTCATGTTAATAAAGTTGTGTTCATATTAATAAAGTTGTGTTCATATTAATAAAGTTGTGTTCATATTAATAAAGTTGTGTTCATGTTAATAAAGTTGTGTTCATGTTAATAAAGTTGTGTTCATGTTAATAAAGTTGTGTTCATGTTAATAAAGTTGTGTTCATGTTAATAAAGTTGTGTTCATGTTAATAAAGTTGTGTTCATGTTAATAAAGTTGTGTTCATGTTAATAAAGTTGTGTTCATGTTAATAAAGTTGTGTTCATGTTAATAAAGTTGTGTTCATGTTAATAAAGTTGTGTTCATGTTAATAAAGTTGTGTTCATGTTAATAAAGTTGTGTTCATGTTAATAAAGTTGTGTTCATGTTAATAAAGTTGTGTTCATGTTAATAAAGTTGTGTTCATGTTAATAAAGTTGTGTTCATGTTAATAAAGTTGTGTTCATGTTAATAAAGTTGTGTTCATGTTAATAAAGTTGTGTTCATGTTAATAAAGTTGTGTTCATGTTAATAAAGTTGTGTTCATGTTAATAAAGTTGTGTTCATGTTAATAAAGTTGTGTTCATGTTAATAAAGTTGTGTTCATGTTAATAAAGTTGTGTTCATGTTAATAAAGTTGTGTTCATGTTAATAAAGTTGTGTTCATGTTAATAAAGTTGTGTTCATGTTAATAAAGTTGTGTTCATGTTAATAAAGTTGTGTTCATGTTAATAAAGTTGTGTTCATGTTAATAAAGTTGTGTTCATGTTAATAAAGTTGTGTTCATGTTAATAAAGTTGTGTTCATGTTAATAAAGTTGTGTTCATGTTAATAAAGTTGTGTTCATGTTTATGAAGTTGTGTTCATGTTAATAAAGTTGTGTTCATGTTAATAAAGTTGTGTTCATATTAATAAAGTTGTGTTCATGTTAATAAAGTTGTGTTCATGTTAATAAAGTTGTGTTCATATTAATAAAGTTGTGGTCATGTTAATAACGTTGTGTTCATATTAATAAAGTTGTGTTCATATTAATAAAGTTGTGTTCATGTTAATAAAGTTGTGTTCATGTTAATAAAGTTGTGTTCATGTTAATAAAGTTGTGTTCATGTTAATAAAGTTGTGTTCATGTTAATAAAGTTGTGTTCATGTTAATAAAGTTGTGTTCATGTTAATAAAGTTGTGTTCATGTTAATAAAGTTGTGTTCATGTTAATAAAGTTGTGTTCATGTTAATAAAGTTGTGTTCATGTTAATAAAGTTGTGTTCATGTTAATAAAGTTGTGTTCATGTTAATAAAGTTGTGTTCATATTAATAAAGTTGTGGTCATGTTAATAACGTTGTGTTCATGTTAATAAAGTTGTGTTCATGTTAATAAAGTTGTGTTCATGTTAATAAAGTTGTGTTCATGTTAATAAAGTTGTGTTCATGTTAATAAAGTTGTGTTCATGTTAATAAAGTTGTGTTCATGTTAATAAAGTTGTGTTCATGTTAATAAAGTTGTGTTCATGTTAATAAAGTTGTGTTCATGTTAATAAAGTTGTGTTCATGTTAATAAAGTTGTGTTCATGTTAATAAAGTTGTGTTCATGTTAATAAAGTTGTGTTCATGTTAATAAAGTTGTGTTCATGTTAATAAAGTTGTGTTCATGTTAATAAAGTTGTGTTCATGTTAATAAAGTTGTGTTCATGTTAATAAAGTTGTGTTCATGTTAATAAAGTTGTGTTCATGTTAATAAAGTTGTGTTCATATTAATAAAGTTGTGGTCATGTTAATAAAGTTGTGTTCATGTTAATAAAGTTGTGTTCATGTTAATAAAGTTGTGTTCATGTTAATAAAGTTGTGTTCATGTTAATAAAGTTGTGTTCATGTTAATAAAGTTGTGTTCATGTTAATAAAGTTGTGTTCATGTTAATAAAGTTGTGTTCATGTTAATAAAGTTGTGTTCATGTTAATAAAGTTGTGTTCATGTTAATAAAGTTGTGGTCATGTTAATAACGTTGTGGTCATGTTAATAAAGTTGTGTTCATATTAATAAAGTTGTGTTCATGTTAATAAAGTTGTGTTCATATTAATAAAGTTGTGTTCATGTTAATAAAGTTGTGTTCATATTAATAAAGTTGTGGTCATGTTAATAACGTTGTGTTCATATTAATAAAGTTGTGGTCATGTTAATAACGTTGTGTTCATATTAATAAAGTTGTGGTCATGTTAATAACGTTGTGTTCATATTAATAAAGTTGTGTTCATATTGATAAAGTTGTGGTCATGTTAATAACGTGTTCATGTTAATAAAGTTGTGTTCATATTAATAAAGTTGTGGTCATGTTAATAAAGTTGTGTTCATGTTAATAAAGTTGTGTTCATGTTAATAAAGTGTGTGTGTTTCTGAAGTAGTGACTCGACATAATGTTTCCGTGTCAGACATGTTTAAACATTGAACATTAACTGAATAAAGTTAAACTGAACAATCATTGTCAACTGCTGTTACCATGTTTGCACAAACAACCTCACATGAAGTCAGTGTTTCATAATGACATGTTTCATTAAACATTAAAACCATTAAAACTCCAAACAGTGTACTGAAGTACTACACACTACAGCAACACACTACACACCACAGTAACACACTCTTCTCCCCTCAGGCAGACGCTTTGGAGTTCCCCAGTGCAGGCTAAACCGCTTTAAGAACTCTTTTGTCCCCCTGTCCATTAAAGCCTTAAATGGGGAGCTAAGTGTAGCTTAACTATACGTGTATGTATATGTATACGTGTATATATGTGTATACATTTTAACGTAACTATGTAACTTTTTTCTTTTTTTGATGACTTTGTAAAACAGATGTGTGTGTGCAATGGGCAGTGTGCAATTTGTTGGCTGATGGTAGTCTGTACATGTACTGTAGATACTGAGTGTGTGAGATTGTGAATAGTGACAGCTCTGTTTGTGGATTGTATATATGTAGGAACTGTATGTGTCAACTTTTTGTGTCTTTTAACAGCAGATACTGCATGTATCCAAGACAAATTTCCTTCGGGACAATAAAGTCTATCTTACCTTATCTTAAAGTACGCACCGTTAAAGTAGTCTGAACAAAAACCCTAACCCATAAAACAAACAAGATCTGAAGTTAAACACATCACACACACACCATCAGTCTGAGTGTTTTTATTCCAGTAGAGAAAAATAACTCCATTTGTTCCTGAAGGCATCATGGTGTGTTCAGTGACTGTCAGGACAAATAAGCATTTTCACAGCTCTTAAGAAGATTCAGACTTAAGTATAAATATCAAACTGAGCCTAGTAAATACATCATGTGTGATGACACACACGCACACATACACACACGGTGAGTTCACTGACTGTCCCTGCTGCAGAGGACATTTTAACATTTATCTACAAAAATATAAAATATACACAAAAAGTGAAAAAGACTAAAAAATGGATTTTTTTCAGTGAAGTTAAAAACACAATGACGACTCGTTAAAACATTTACAGAGTGTAACTGGGCCATCCAATCAGACGTCAGACGAGCTGTGATTGGTGGATGAAGTCCTACAGCGTGGTGAGGAATTCTCTGACCTGCAGGACCAAACAGACTCCACATCAGAACCCAGTAAACAGACTCCACATCAGTGATGTCACATCAATACGAACCTCGTCAATGATGGCTTCCTGTTTGATGCGGTCGTTCTTGAAGTCATCGTCTACGTCCAGAACGAGAACAGGAAGATCGTTCAGGTACTCAAAGTCCAACCTGAACACACACACAGATAGGTCATGTCATGTCTGTTTTCTTCAGCCTGGCCCTGAATGCACCACTGAGACAAACACCCGAGTACAAAACAGGTGGATTTGTTTTTAATCACAGGAGAACACAAGTTTCTGGTGGTGGTGCTGTTACCTGAGGTTGTGAGCGTGCTCAGTGGTGGTGTTACCTGAGGTTCCTGTGGACGAGCCAAGCTTCATGTTTGAAGTGAAGCTGTTCCAGGTACTCCAGAGGGATCCCCTGCTCCTCCTCCCGACCCCGATGGAGCAGACGCTGCATACAGCGCTGAGACACACAGACACAAACACTGGAACATGAACACAGCACTACAAACATGACTGAACTCTGTCGTACAGGTGCACTGCAGCCAGAGTTTTACCTGTGGCTGAGCTCTCAGGTAGATGATGGCGTCGAGGGCGATGTCAGGTTCAAACTGGTTCAGTAACCAGGTGTGCCAGTCCTGATAAACACTCCACTCCGTCTCCGTCAGGCTGCCGCACTCAAACAGGTTGGACGCAAACACGTACCTGTGACAAAGTACACACGGTTACTGCATCACTCTGCCTCCAGCTACCTGTCTCAGGTGTTTGTAGCTACCCGTCTCAGGTGTATGCGTGTTTGTGTGGCTACCCGTCTCAGGTGTATGCGTGTTTGTGTAGCTACCCATCTCAGGTGTATGCACGTTTGTGTAGCTACCCGTCTCAGGTGTGTGTAGTTACCAGTCTCGGGTGTGTGTATTTACCAGTCTCGGGTGTGTGTATTTACCAGTCTCGGATGTGTGTGTAGTTACCTGTCTCGGATGTGTGTAGTTACCTGTCTTTCCAGTCTCGGGTGTGTATAGTTACCCGTCTCGGGTGTGTATAGTTACCCGTCTCGGGTGTGTGTGTAGTTACCAGTCTCGGGTGTGTCCACAGTTACCAGTCTCAGGTGTGTGTAGTTACCTGTCTTTCCAGTCTCGGGTGTGTATAGTTACCCGTCTCGGGTGTGTGTAGTTACCCATCTTGGGTGTCTGTGTAGTTACCAGTCTCGGGTGTCTGTGTAGTTACCCGTCTCGGGTGTCTGTGTAGTTACCAGTCTCAGGTGTGTGTAGTTACCAGTCTCAGGTGCAGTGTTAATTTTGTCAACCAACCAACTTAATGAAAACTTTTCGTTGATGACCCTTTATTCCGTGACTAATTTGTGACGAGAATGTAAATTTGATAAATACTGACAACAAAAACTAAAACGAAATCTCTGTTCATTATGAAGTGACGAGTAAAAACGTGACGAAAAAGCTGACGCTGGCCGGCTGGACAATCTGGATTACAACCCTTGTCAATGCCTCGATTGTTTTCCTTTTTAACCAATTAATTATCTAAACTCAAATTCAAACTCTCAGTCTATCTTTGTGATTGGATGACCTCCCCCCGCCCTCCACACGGTGGCGGTGCATGTCCAGTTTTGCCACACAGAAGCCTTGGCTCCACAGCGGGAAGCCGGGAACAACAACGGCTGTAAAACTCTGTAAAAGTACATACATACATTTTCATTTCCAGATATTTATTTGAAAACAAAACCATTGATACGGTCAATAATAAAACATTTTGTTAATAATAAAAAACGAATGTAATCTCAACAGTGACCGCGCCAGCGGCTGAACTGCTTCCAATGTCCATTCATTCAATCGCGTGTTCAGTGTGTGTGTGTGTGTGTGTGTGTATGTGTGTGTGTTAGTATGTCAGAGAGGAGGAGTATCAATAAAAAAAAGTTTCCACTAATTATTTCGGTGTTTATTTCTTTTACTCTTTTATTAAAATGCGTAATATAGCCAACAATACTATAGACCAAAAGTTAATCTAATCTATTATTGTAGAATGTATTTAGCAAATCACCACTTTCAACTGGAGACACAGCACATCAGCAGTGAGGTGTGTGTGTAGTTACCTGTCTCAGGTGTGTGTAGTTAGTTACCTGTCTCAGGTGTGTGTAGTTACCTGTCTGAGTAGACAGAGCGTTCGTAGAACTGAACAGGGTTTTCAGCCTGCTGAAGTTTGATTGACGGAGACTGAAGCTGAGAACGAACTCTGCTGAGACACGCGTAACTCTGATGGACAGACAGGAGAACAGGTAGACAGACAGGAGGACAGGTAGACAGACAGGAGGACAGGTAGACAGGTAGAGGACAGGTAAATGGTTAGTGAAGCAGCTTCATCTGCTGGTCATCCTCCCCACCTGGGGGGCGGAGTCGGGTCGGGTTACCTGGAAGGTGTAGGACCAGCGGCTGGGTTTATCATACAACATCTGCAGCAGGTTTCCTCCGCTCTTCTGAGAGGAGCTCAGCTCCTGCAAACAAACAAACAAACAAACAAACAAACAAACAAACAAACAAACCGGTAAACACGTCATGTGTCACACTCAGCTTTTATTCTGAAAGGACAGAAAGGGTCTTTGTGATGCCACTGTGAAGCGTGTTGTGTTCAGGTGCAGTTTGTTCACCTGGTAGATGTCGTCACTGTCGTTCTGGACGTTGCACCATTTCCCGATGGGCTCAGGAATCACCTCCCAGTCCTCCGATGCACTCTGGAGAAGACGCACGAAGGTGGACTTTCCTGCAGCTAAGAGACAAAGAGACAGACACACAGAGACAGACAGAGACAAAGAGACAGATACACAGAGACAGACAGAAAGACAGAGACAGAAAGACAGACAGAAAGACAGAGACAGAGAGACAGACAGAGACAGCGACAAAGAGACAGAGACACAGAGGCAGAGAGACAGAAAGACAGACAGAGACAAAGAGACAGAGACACAGAGACGACAGAGACAGAGAGACAGATGGACACTTTAACCTGTTGTATAATAAACATAAATCTGGCCTCAGTTCATCACAGAAAATCTCAAACTTGATAAATCAGGTTATAAAACACTATTTAAGTAACTGTATTTATTAGTTACTCTCTTTAGAGTATCAGTACTGTGAGATAAATACTTTATACTGCAGTAACTGTATTTATTAGTTACTCTCTTTAGAGTATCAGCACAGATAAATACTGTATACTGCAGTAACTGTATTTATTAGTTACTCTTTAGAGTATCAGCACTGTGAGATAAATACTGTATACTGCAGTAACTGTATTTATTAGTTACTCTCTTTAGAGTATCAGCACTGTGAGATAAATACTGTATACTGCAGTAACTGTATTTATTAGTTACTCTTTAGAGTATCAGCACTGTGAGATAAATACTGTATACTGCAGTAACTGTATTTATTAGTTACTCTTTAGAGTATCAGCACTGTGAGATAAATACTGTATACTGCAGTAACTGTATTTATTAGTTACTCTCTTTAGAGTATCAGCACTGTGAGATAAATACTGTATACTGCAGTAACTGTATTTATTAGTTACTCTTTAGAGTATCAGCACTGTGAGATAAATACTGTATACTGCAGTAACTGTATTTATTAGTTACTCTCTTTAGAGTATCAGCACTGTGAGATAAATACTGTATACTGCAGTAACTGTATTTATTAGTTACTCTTTAGAGTATCAACACTGTGAGATAAATACTGTATACTGCAGTAACTGTATTTATTAGTTACTCTCTTTAGAGTATCAGCACTGTGAGATAAATACTGTATACTGCAGTAACTGTATTTATTAGTTACTCTTTAGAGTATCAGCACTGTGAGATAAATACTGTATACTGCAGTAACTGTATATATTAGTTACTCTTTAGAGTATCAGCACTGTGAGATAAATACTTGTACTCTTTAAATGAAGTAAACAAATGATGTCATGTTGTACTCTAGTTGATACTCACTGTAATACTCTGAGTAAAAAACAGTCACCACATGAGCAAAGTACAACATTAAAGTACTCTGACATGTATTTGTACACAGAGTGATCCTCTAGAGTAATCATCTATAGTAATCCTCTGACAGAGTATTCTGCATTATGAGTACTTTAACTCCGATACTTTACAGTACTTGTACCAACAGAACATTTTAAATGCAGTACTTGTAATAGAGTACTTTAGACTGATATAGTAGCGAGTACTTTTACTGTGATACACAGTGATGGAGTACCTGAGTAAAGACAGATCATTTTTACTAGAAGGAAACAGGAAATTATATCTTTACATCTGATTGGTGATTATTGATTATTGATAACAGTCTGAGTTTGGCGCCACTCGGCTGGTGAAGGCGGGACGGACTGACCGGTTCAAACCAACAGACCCTCTTGGCGCTCCCCGCGGCCGGTGACTCACCGGGAGAATGTATGATTAGTAATGATCGATCAGTGATCCGTAACTAAACTCACCGATGTTTCCCTCGATGGAGATCTTCCTCTCTCTGCGGGACAAACTTCCACTCGGACTGGCGGGAACACTACGGACTCTCTTCGGTGGAGTCGCCATGTTTAAAACAATCGCCTCCTGGTCCGGTCTTTGTTTGTTTGTTTGTTTGTTTGTTTATTCTCCGCGCGGAGGAAAACCGACTGACTGACCGCCAGCTGCCGACCGCGCGCTGTTTTAAATTGGATTCCGCGCGCAGACGAGGTTTCCGGTTCCGGGGGCGGGACTAAACGGAACAGAGATAGTGTAAAAGCACGGAGATGACAGGAGGTCTCACTCTGCTGCTGCTCACATGTCCGCCATGTTTGTTGCTCAGGGACTGCTCTGTATTTATCAGAGGAGGGGGCGTGGCCACAGTGTGACAGATGTTTATAAACTTTGATGTTTGAAAGTTTAAAAAAAAAAAAGTCTCAGTTTTTCTCTGGTTTCGTACAAACACTTTGCTTTTGACAAATTTTAAATCAGACATAGAATAAAAAGTGATTCTGATGAAATATTATTTAAAGATCGGATTAATTCTGGCTGATAAACAAAGTCATTGTGGTGATTTCTAAAGAAAACATGGCGGATTGGAAACTGTGTTTTATTTAAAAGCCCCCCCAAATAATTTGCGGTTCTTTTTACAGAAAACATCCTAAAATCTGCAAAATGTTTTAAGTGAAATAAAAATCACTGAAAATTATTTAAGAAAAACAAACAAACAAAAAAAAACTAAAAAGCTAACTTCTAGAAAAGAATTGAGGTGTGGAGGTGTCAGACCGGTCAGACAGGAAGTTACCCATGATGCACCTCCATCCATCACAGCTGCTGGTCCCGAGGACAGGACGTCCATGATGGACTGGTCAGAGTCAATAGGCTCGTTGGAGATGAACTGCGCCTCGCCTGGAAAGTAGACGAGAGCAGGCGGCCGCAGCGGGGGGCGGTGACAAAAAGCTGCGGTGAAGTCGGACAGTTTCCAGCAGCCTTCAGTCCGTACAGGAAGTCACAGACACACTAACATCCTGTCTGGAATGATGCCAATTCATTAAAGTGATCAGACCCATATATCAGTTTGTTCTCAGTCTCCAGTTGTTTTAATTATGATAGATTAATTTATTAAAATGCTTTACAGGTGATCTGTAGTTTATGTTCATGGTTCATGAACTCTGCTGTAAATCAGCATCATATCAGTTTGACCTGTCGCCATGGCAACAGAGACTGAATACACTGTGTCTGACTGTAAGCTTCATATTTGATACAAGACAACAGCTTTCATTAAGGCTCAGTCAGATTCAGTCAGGGCTTCACATCTGAACACGTTATTTTAAGAATCCTCACATCCCACTGACCACCAGTCTCTGTGCTGCTCAATACTTCAATAATTAAAACAGTCCAGTGTTAATACACAGTAGACTCTGTGTAGTTTATGATGAATGTGTTCAGTCTGTGACGTCATCTTGTTGAGTCAACATCTGAACCAATCAGCTGTTAGATCAGGTGAGAGCCAGGCGGTGCAGTCGGTGGAGAGCAGCTGCAGATGCTCGCGGTTTTATCGCCGTCCACTTTTGTAATAGGCTACATCAGAACAAGTCGGGATGAAGTCGGACACAAAACTAACCGGCAAAACTTTGCAGTTTTGTGACTTAAATTTTGACCCTACAGTGGAACAAATAACAAACCAGTTCAATCTGTGGCTGATGAGAGAGCTCTCACTGAATGGTCGGGTCTTGTTGTCTAAAGCTGAGGGGACATCTCGAGCTGTCTACGTGTCTTTAGCACTTGAAATGTCTGCAGCAATATACACAAAAATTAGATAAAATTTTATTCAATTTTATTTGGAGGAACAAATGTCATTATTTAAGAAAAGATATTCTGTGTAATACAAGAAGAGATGGTGGTGTTGAGGTCATAAGTTTTGAAACATTAAATAGTACTTTCAAAGTAAAATGGTTATCTAATGTAATTAAAGAAAAAGACAATATTTGGAATGCTTTCCCTAAACATATATTTAACTCAGTTGGTGCTCTTAGACTTGTGTTAACATGTGATTATAAGACTGAAAAATTACCTGTAAAATTAGCAAACTTTAAGAAACAAGCGCTGCTGTCCTGGAAAATGGTGCACATGCATAATTTCTCACCAACAAGATATTCCATCTGGAATAACAATATTCAATATAGAAATAAATCACTCTGTTATAAAATGTGGGTGGAAATGGTATTGTATTAATTAAACAACTTGTGAATGCTGAGGGACAGTTACTAACGTATGATGAATTCCTCTCTAAGTTCAGGCTGCCAAAGGAATATGCAGTGGTCTGAGATGCTGTACTGAGGAGTGCACTGCAGCTGCTTAGAGGATCAACTGTTGAGGTCTCTACGACTGTTCCACTCAGCAGTGTTTGTTCCTCAGAGTAAATGACATTACAAAGAATAAATGTTTGAATAAATTCATCAGGAATCACATGCATACTGTATCTGTGCCCTCAGCAAAATTCTTTGGACCTCGCTTCATGGTGAAGTTGATGTTTGAATATGTGTCTAGTTGGAGATAAATTCTGTCTGAATAATAAAGTTAAAGAGGTCTCTTGTAAAATATTGCATAAAATATATCCAGCAGAGAAACTTTGGAGAGATTTAAGATCGATATTGAATATTCTTAGGTTTTTTTGTGGAAATGAGGAAGAAACAATTTGTCGTCTGTTTGATCACTGTGTGTAGCCTATACTAGAATGTTCTGGATGGATGTTCAAACAGAAAAACTGGACAAACAATCCACTTAAAAGAAAAGGACATTTTTATTTGTTTTGAAGACGAGGAGAAAGAAAAAGATTGTTCTTTTTGTACAGCTTCTTCTTCTTCACATTCATAAGGAGAAATGTGCAGAATCCAAACCAAGCTTTGAACATTTTCTGCATGATCTGAAACAATATTGCACAACTATTGAAGCCTTAAGAGCAAGAAGACACTTAGAACTGACTCTATTATCGATAAATGTTGTAAAGATTGACGACTGTATTGAATATCCTTCATTTGTTAGTTTTGCTTTTTGCTTTGTATTCTGTTGTTTCTGTTTCTGAGTCTGAACTGTCATTGGTAGAGCAGCTTTGTGTTTACTGACAGTGGTTTTCCAAAGTGTTCCTGAGCCCTTGTAGTAATATCCTTTATACAGTCATGTTGGTTTTAAATGCAGTGACGTCTGAGGGGTGAAAGGTCAGCTAAAGATTTACTATGTCTGACGCGGCATCCTCACTGACCTGAAGTCAGACTTATAATAAATAAACAAAGACACGATGAGGAGACAAAAGGTTCAACATTTAATATGAACAACTAACAAACACACTGACAGGAACGTGTGTGTGTGTGTGTGTGTGTGTGTGTGTGTGTGTGTTACAGAGTATTATAGGTTCTTGATGAGCGTGTCACTGAGCTCTCCTTGACAGCAGCATCTCTCTGATGTTGTCTTCAGCTTCTTTCACGCTGCGTTCAAGGTACACCTTCTTCTGCTGAAAATGAGACAACACAGTCAGACCACCATTACACCTGGACACACACCTGGACAGGACACACACCTGGACAGGACACACACCTGAACACACACCTGGACAGGACACACACCTGGACACACACCTGGACACTCATCTGGACAGGACACACACTGGGACACACACCTTGACAGGACACACACCGGGACACACACCTGGACACTCATCTGGACAGGACACACACCGGGACACACACCTGGACACACACCTGGACAGGACACACATCTGGACACACACCTGGACTGGACACACACCTGGACACACACCTGGACAAGACACACACCTGGACACACATCTGGACAGGACACACACCTGGACAGGACACACACCTGGACAAACACCTGGACACACAGCTGGTAGAATAGTAAAGTGTGTATTTGTGTGTGTTTGTACCTCGAGCTCTTTAATTTTCTCATCAGCTGTTTTCTGTTTGTCCATCAGCTGATTGTTGATGTCCTCCTTCGACTGAAGAATGAACCTGAGACAACACACGCACATGCACACACACGCACACGCACACACACACACACATTAGCAATAGAAGATCTTTGAGCGTCTGTCACACACTGACAGAGATATGTCTGTAAAGAGGACGCATCACTCTGTTTAAATTCAGAGGACAAAATATTGTCTTAATAAAAACCGACAGAGTGACGGTTCTCTTCTGTTCTGATGATCAATAACTGATCAGCTGTAATCAATAACACACCTGAGTGGTGTCACGCACCTGTCTGTAGTTCCACCACAGTAACTACAGCTCACCTGTTCACCATCATCTACTGAGTATTCAGCTCCTGTGTGATGTCACTGTGATGTTATGTTTCCTGTCAGTGTAACCTGCTCTGGTGAACAAAGATCCTGGTTGTCATGGAGACTCACATGCGTCCGACTCCCTCGTACAGTCGCGTGTTGTCGGGCAGTGTGGTGATCTCAGCGTGAGTCAGCTTGGCGTGTTTCTGAACCCGAGTCAGCTGATCGATCTGCAGGTCGGCCAACTTCACCTTCTGCTGCGTGTCGATCATCTTCACCTGCAGCTCCGAGAATGCCTACAACAGAGATGCATCACTCTGATGAGAAACATCTGGACATCTTTCACCTAGTCTAGCATGTTTGATTTTCTTTTTGTCTTCCACGACTTCTCCCGTCACAGCCGTCACTTTGACCAATAGGAACACAGAGCAATCTGCTGCCGTGGAAACTGTAGGACCACAACAGCCCAGCCTTTTAATGTTACATATTTCCTGTGAGGACTTAAATCCCCAAACACACTGACAGCGATAATTGACATGCATCGACTGAGGCGCGTCAATTATCGCTCCTATAGCGCACTGCAGGCATTAGGCAACGCCACAGAACTAGCAGTATTTTAGGAAAAAAGCTGTTGATTATATAACAGATGCCATCAGTAATTGTAGCCTATATACTTGTGTACTTTAGTGTGTTATATGAAATCAGAGTCAGCAGTATTTTAGGAAAGAAAAGTCACAATTATAGGCAACAATGTCTGTAGGCAGTCACCTGGTTGCAGACTTTCCTTACAGCAGCCTAATGAGCGAGATAAGGAAAAGGATGGATGGAGATGAGAATGTCCTAGGGTGACCAGATGTCCCGAAAAATTCGGGACAGTCCCGAAATTCAAGCAGTTGTCCCGAATCCCGAATCCTGCCCTAATTGTCCCGAACATTACACCAGAGCAGAGTCTGGAGGAGTTACTGCCTGATAAAACATTAAACACTGATCATGGTGGTTGAGTCGTCCTGCAGCTCCCGCCGGCTGCACATTGGCTGCAGCAGTTCCTACATCAATTATGGGTGTTGTAGTTTTTAAATTGTGTACAGCAGTGGCGATGAAGAGAGCACAAGCTGCAGCCGCGAGGACAGGGAAAGCATGCAGCCACGAGGAGGAGTGATTTGCACGTTGCAGTGCAGCCTCTTGTTCTAACTGTTCAAAACTGTTCTACGAACTGACAGGCCTGAATGTACCAGGCGTCTTTTATTTTGTTAGCTTTTATTTTTTTAATTGAGTTTAACACTAGGACCGCCAGGATCACAGCGCCCCTCCAAGCGCCACAGCGGTCTGCCAGACCATCATATGTAACTTCATTGTTTATGCTGCCCGTGTGCTCAGAAGCACTCAAAAAATGCATTTTTGAGTCATTTACGAGAAGTTATGATAAAATAAAAATATTACAGACTATAGAATAGGACTGACAACCTCTCCAATGTCTCGTGACAATTAATTAACACTATTTGTCGGCTTTTTATAATTTTGCTGCTGCGCTGTGTCTCCAGTTGAAAGTGGTGATGGGCCTTTAACACAGTCTGTACCTGTGAACCGTCACCTGAACCTGTTAGTCTAAAGGCCCAAACGCACTGAAAGCGTCTGACGCGCACGTTTTGAAGTACACTCATTGTTTTAAATGGCCAAACACGCACTGAAAGCGTTTTGACGCGTGTCTAATTGCCTTGACGCCTCAACTCCGACCTTGTCTCGATTTTGGAGCGTCAAATGAGGACCCAGAGACCAGAGCTGTTCTTTCTGCAGCTGCAGCACCTGTTTGGAGAGAGGGTTATTTGTTATTTGTTACCTGCGGAATATGTGGGAAGAGGGTCTGTTATCTGTTATATGTTGTGTATGCTGCCCTGAAACCAACCTGACTGATGATGTGTGAAAACAATTACCCCACTGGGGACATTAAAGAACCTAACCTAACCTAACATGAATAAAAAGGTAAAGATTTTTAATTTTATGCTGTTTCATTATTAATGAGCTCATTTGCATCAGTTTCCGCTCCAGAGAAAAGAGCTAAAACACCCAAATAAACAAATTTAATTCTTCAGTTGGCATAATAAAATAATAATAATATTTTATCTTTATCTTTATTCCTTTCACTTCTGGTGGTTCTTGACTGTCATGACATGTCAGCTTTTAAAAACAACAATAGATGTAAAAACACACAGACACAATACATCTGTGATCAGCTCCCTAATTTAATTTTAACAATTTTTTCAATCTTCTCCAATTTCTCGTTTTATTTTATGGAAGTAATCAATGTAAGTGCACTTGTCCAAGAGCTGCCATGATGGATTTTATAATGCAAATAACTCTGTTTAGATAAAACTTACAAGTTTCTCTTCCTCTGACTTTTCCTAAAAATGTGGCTTGTATGTTTTCTGAAGCCTTTGTAAAACAAAAACACACACCCGCCAGTGGCCGATGGAAAATTTTGAATTGCATGTGGGTTTTTTATGTGCTTCGACCATTTCTGCCAGCTGTGTCCAGGGACGGTTTTTGCTATGGGCAAGTATGAATAAGTCAATAAGTAATTTATTCCATTGAAATATCAGTGATGTATTATAGAAAAGTGATTTATCTTTTTATAAATGACAAAAGGCACATCTGCCTCATTTTTGCCGTGGTATCGTGATACTACTACTGCAGCCTTTGCCACAAGCACACCAAAGAAACACAGAGGACAGGGTTGGATTTTCCTAAAGTTGGATTTTTATACTAAAAACGTAAGGTAATTATTTTTCGTCAAATAAGGCACAATTTTTTTATTTGGCTGGTGAAAAATATGTTTGGTCGGTAAATTTTTGGAGGTCACTAGCCAATGGCAGACGAGGTAAAAGGTTAATTTTATGCCCTGCTTCTGAGCATTTATACCTCTGACCGCTGCTGAAAATTATACATTTTGATACAAACAGGTGGCTATACATATTGCAAAACTCTGTAAAAGTACACCAAAGCATACATTTTTATTTCCAAATATTTATTTGAAAACGAAACCATTCATACAGTCAATAAAAAACCATTTTGTTAATAATAAACAACGAATCTCAACAGTGACTGCGCCAGCTGGCGGGACTGCGGCTGAACTGCTTCCAATCTTCATTCATTCATTCAATCGCGAGTTCAATGTGTGTGTGTGTGTGTGTGTGTGTGTGTTAGTATGTCAGAGAGGAGGAGTATCAATTAACAAAAGTTTCCACTAATTATTTCGGTGTTTATTTCTTTTTTTTCTTAAGTTTTTTTTATTAAAATGCGTAATATAGCCAACAATATTATAGATCAAAAGTTAATCTAATCTATTATTGTAGAATGTATTTAGCAAATCACCACTTTCAACTGGAGACACAGCGCAGCAGCAAAATTATAAAAAGCCGACAAATAGTGTTAATTAATTGACAGGAGACATTGGAGAGGTTGTCAGTCCTATTCTATAGTCTGTAATATTTTTATTTTATCATAACTTCTCGTAAATGACTCAAAAATGCATTTTTTGAGTGCTTCTGAGCACACGGGCAGCATAAACAATGAAGTTACATATGATGGTCTGGCAGACCGCTGTGGCGCTTGGAGGGGCGCTGTGATCCTGGCGGTCCTAGTGTTAAACTCAATTAAAAAAATAAAAGCTAACAAAATAAAAGACGCCTGGTACATTCAGGCCTGTCAGTTCGTAGAACAGTTTTGAACAGTTAGAACAAGAGGCTGCACTGCAACGTGCAAATCACTCCTCCTCGTGGCTGCATGCTTTCCCTGTCCTCGCGGCTGCAGCTTGTGCTCTCTTCATCGCCACTGCTGTACACAATTTAAAAACTACAACACCCATAATTGATGTAGGAACTGCTGCAGCCAATGTGCAGCCGGCGGGAGCTGCAGGACGACTCAACCACCATGATCAGTGTTTAATGTTTTATCAGGCAGTAACTCCTCCAGACTCTGCTCTGGTGTAATGTTCGGGACAATTAGGGCAGGATTCGGGATTCGGGACAACTGCTTGAATTTCGGGACTGTCCCGAATTTTTCGGGACATCTGGTCACCCTAGGACATTCTCATCTCCATCCATCCTTTTCCTTATCTCGCTCATTAGGCTGCTGTAAGGAAAGTCTGCAACCAGGTGACTGCCTACAGACATTGTTGCCTATAATTGTGACTTTTCTTTCCTAAAATACTGCTGACTCTGATTTCATATAACACACTAAAGTACACAAGTATATAGGCTACAATTACTGATGGCATCTGTTATATAATCAACAGCTTTTTTCCTAAAATACTGCTAGTTCTGTGGCGTTGCCTAATGCCTGCAGTGCGCTAAGGAGCGATAATTGACGCGCCTCAGTCGATGCATGTCAATTATCGCTGTCAGTGTGTTTGTGGCTAACAACGGTCACAGCTTGTCTCCTCACTGTCTGATGACACACACTGTGTCCCGTGTTGAATCAGTGAAACACGGGACATTCCCGGGTCACACGGGACGGGTGGAATCCTTAAAATGTGCGTGTCGAGAGTTAGCTCCTCGTGCTAACCGTTAGCTCCGGTGTTGCTAACCGGCAGATTAATGAGCGGTTTACAGACCGCGGCTCTGCGTCAACACACAGCAGGTGAGATCAGCTGAGCTCGCGCGACACACCTGAGGATCATCAGCTGAACAATTACACAGTACAGTCTCTCGGTTTTACCTTCTTCAGCTCCAGGTCTATGGGCGCCGCCATCTTCTCTCTCAACACTTGACAGACACTGCGCATGTGCGTGCCCGTTCTTCTTCCGTCACTGTCCAACAAAATAAAAGCGTTACATTTATTTATTTTTATTTGACCTTTGTTTTGAAATCTGTTCACAGGCACGAAGCTGAGTCCAACTCCTGTTCCTGCTCTTTCAGGGTTTTTAAATTAAAATAAAGATCCGTCTTTGTAACTCTGAATCACAACACTGTCTGAATTTTAATTTTGACAATTAGTTTTTATTTTATCCCTGCTGTTTGTTTCTATTTCATTTATTTTATAGACATTTAATTATCTTATATTATAAACTTTAAATCTAAAAGGAGAAAATAATTTAATCATTTCTCCAGTTTCTGCTTAATAATATATTATAGTTATAGTATAGTATATCATGTCACTCTGACGCACCCGTCCAGGACGTACCCATACTCCGAAGTACCCGTACTCTGATGAAATAATTTTTTAATCATTAAAGGGCCAGTGTGTAATATTTGGCATGGTTTATTGTCAATCTGAATCTGAATCTGAATATTCTACCCATTAATATGTTTATACAAGTGTATAATCACTATAAAATAAAATTCGTTTGGTTTTCGTAGCCTTATAATTACGCTTTTATATATATATATATAGCAAGGGCCTTGCTTTAGAGAGGTCGCCATCTTGCGCCACCATGTATGTACGGCAGACTGAGTGGACAATCCAGCCAGCCAGAGGACGCGTTTCGCGTGTATAAATGAACCAATGAAGACAGCGGAAGGAAGGAAGAAGGAGGAAGAAACAGCAGAGAGTGTTAGTAGTTCGTCGATAGAGAGTAGTGAAAAGTTTTTTTAGTTATAAAGTTTGCGAATGGACCACACTTACCACGCAACAGGAGAGAATGAACCAGAACCGTCATCTGCGAGGAAAAGAAGACGCAACTTCACTCCTTGTGATGCACTCTCTGCAGCGCTTTTCCTCCTGGTGATATATCTCCCCAACGATGGCAGCAGTAGCACCGAATCCCATTCTGTGCATTCAGCCTCTCTTCTC